GGCAGAAGCAGCAGCAGCAGCTGCCGCTGCTGCTGCCCGGGGCCTCCCCGCGTCCCGGGAGGCCTTAAATGCTGCAGAAGCTGGAACGCCCTGGCCCCAGAGAGTCGGCGATCAGCAGTAGCAGCAGCAGCAGTAGCAGCAGCAGCAACTGCTGCTGCCGCTGCCTGTGTGTGCTGCTGCGAGCCACCTACTAGGGCAGCTTTAGTTTTAGATCTTTCTGTCTGCACAAATGCAAGAGCGCCTCGTCGCCGCGAAATAAAGAATAAGTAAAAATAAAATTAAATTTAATACAATAAAATAAAATTAAAATAAAATAGGAAGCCCCCGTTGCAGACCCCACAGGTGTCCGCAGCTCGTTCGGGTGTACAGACACCGCAACTGGCGCGTGGACGCAAAAGATTTCTCTTCAATTTTATTCTTTTGCAAATTAAGTGCATGCATTCCTGCTGCTGCTCTAATGCTGCGCCAGCAGCAGCAGCAATAGCAAGCAACTGGCGTATAAAGGGTAGCAGCAGCAGCAGCAACACGAGCAGCAGCAGCAGCAGCAGCAACACGAGCAGCAGCAACAGGGGCGGTGCAGCAATGCGGCGCAGTAGGCTGCAGCTAATTGCGCTGAAGAAATGGAAGCAAAAGCCTCCTTGTGGGCTCCGCCGGAGCTAGGGTTTAGGGTTTAGGGTTTTGCCTTGAGGGTTTAGAACTGGAGGTTTTTGAGTCTAAAGAAACAACGGGGCAAAGGCCCCGAGGTCTCAAGCAGCAGCAATTCCGGATTCTCAAATCTGCTGCTGCTGCTGCTGTTTTAGCTGCTGCTGCTAGTGCTTTAGTTGCTGCTGCTGCAGCAACCTGCTGCTGCAGCAGCAACTAAAACTGCAGCAGCAGGTCAAGCTGCTGCCGCTGCTGCAGTTGCTGCTGCTGCTGCAACTCCTGCTGCTTCAGGGGCTCAGCCTCTTGGGGTCTCTAGGGAAAAGAGACACACGGCGAATGTTGCCGAGACCTGCAGCAGAAGAAAGAACAATACCCTAAACCCTAAACCCTAAACCCTAAACCCTCAGCTTTACAGCACCTTTACACTGAACAACGACTGACGCTAAGGCGAAGCCGAACCCCCGCATCACGCAGCAGCAAAACCCTAAACCCCAAACCCTAAACCCCAAAACAGCCCAAACCCCAAACCCCAAACCCCAAACCCTAAACCCTAAACCCTAAACCCCAGATCCCCAAAACCCGCGCTCCCCGCCCGCGAACCCGCAAACCCCAAACCCCAAACCCCAAACCCTAAACCCTAAACCCTAACCGTAGTAAAGCATGACAATGCGTTCGAGTCCCGCCCCCATGCCAGCGTGGGGGGGGGCCCCCAGCTCGAGGGCCTCCAGGTAAAACTTTAGCTGCTGCTGCTGCTGCTGCAGCCCCAGGGCCTCGCAGCGGCTGCGCAGCAGGGGCCCCTCGTGGATTCTTTGGGCCCCCGAGGCCACCTCTTCGCCCCGCATGAACACGTCAAACGTGTTCGAAAAGCGCTGCACCGAACCACAAACCCTAAACCCTAAACCCTAAACCCTAAACCCTAAACCCTAAGCCCTGGGGCGCCTTCGTGCGCGGAGCCGCTGTGGTTGAGGGATGGCTGGGCTGGTGGCTGGTGTCAGGTGGATGGCTAGCTGGCTAGACAGACAGCTGGCTAGCTAGCTAGCTAGCTAGCTAGCCGGCTAGATAGACTGCTGGCTAGCTAGCTAGCTAGCTAGCCAGCTACCTAGCTGTCTGGCTGGGCTGTGGCTAGCCAGCTGTGGCTAGCCAGCTGTGTCTAGCTAGCTATCTGTGTGTAGCTAGCTAGCTAGCTAGCTAGCTGTCTAGCTAGCAAGCTAGCCGGCTGTCTAGCTAGCTAGCTGTCTAGCTAGCTAGCCGTGCGTAGCTAGCTAGCCAGCCAGCCGGCCAGCCAGCAAGCCAGCCAGCTGGCCAGCTAGCCAGCCAGCCAGCTGGCCAGCCAGCCAGCCAGCTAGCTAGCTAGCTAGCCAGCCCCAGTGGCTAGCTGGGGCGCGGCGCACCGGGTCTTCGGGACAGGGCATGGAGTAGAAGGGGCGGACGCTGGCGGGGTACTTGAGGAGAAAGAAAAAATCTGTTTTGAACTTTTGCTTCACAAGTTTGCCAAGAGCTTTTTCGAGGTCTGTGGGGAGGTCGAAGTTGTCGAGGCTTTCTGGGATCGTGTCCAACCCGATCCCAGCTTCCCGCAGCAGCTGCACGCCCTCCGCGAAGCTCAGCCGCGGCGTCTCCGCCAGAAACTCGAACTTCTCCACGCCGTGCTGCTCCCGAATCAGCGCGTTCTCCTGCAGCAGCAGCAGCAGCAGCAGCAGCAGCAGCAGCAGCGGCGGCGGGGGCGGGGGGGGT